CCCCAAAACCCCAAAACCCCAAAACCCCATTTCTACAAATTTAATTAAGATCATTTAAAATGACAATCAATATATATTTCAAAAAGGCTGATATATATCCTTTAATTTGTAAAGTATTCTGGTCTTATAGTAATAGCCAAATCGAAATCGATATCCTACCAAATGAGCATCAAATTCCTTTATTTTTTCATAAAATCCTAAACTCTCGAATTTCTTGATGCATGCTTCAAAGCAATAAAAATGCCCGCCAGTTTCAAATTTGAAGGCAATTACATATTCAGGTCTAATAATCTCCTATGATATTTAATCTAGCATATTCAAGCATCCATTGTAATCATGATCATGAATGATAGGGAATGGAAGTCCATCTTTAATCAATTAAAATGGGGGATCCTTTTTGAAAAGAGTCAGTCTCGTTCTATTTTTACCGAACTCACCATAATGCTTCCTATGAGACCAGGTGTAATAAGGTAAATCTACATTTTACATTGAGTAGATAGAATGAGGAGCTAGAGCCTCATCGGCTAAATACTTCATTACCTTCCATTATGAAAAATGAAATTTTGTAATTATGTAGGAAACTAAAGCCTACTCAATTATATACAAATATATCATAATTCTGACAATTTTACCATATTTTTTCATGCAACCATTGTAAAAATAACCAATTATCAAGAAGCAAAATGGAATTATTGGTTGCATAAATCTATACTCTTTGTGAGGTATCATTGAAAATATCAATACATAAAAAACAATCATGTAAAATAAATAGGGAATTAGTCTCTTGCTTCTATAATCTCTGGTGTAACTTACTAATCCAACATAAAATGCAGGAACTGCTGATGTGAAGTAAAATGGTATGAATGCTATAATATACATATGAAATTCATCAGTTCCAAAGTATTTACTTAAGCCTTCTAATATATTAGCTCTCAGAAAATTGTAAGATGTCACAGTAAATTCTCCAAAATATATTGAATCAAGTAATATGCTGAATAAAATTACTGGAATAGCAATTACAAACCCAGCTTTGATAAAAGGTAATAGTGATTTTTCATAAAGAATCTTAAGTAATAAAAGAGGGATCCAACCTACTGGGGAAGTATTTCTAATCATAAATGAAATTGAAATAAGTGCTGTCATTTTCATAGTGTTTCCATCAAATTTATCTTTCTAATTTAGATAGTAATTAAAAGCTATGATGTTTGCTATACTCTCAATGCTGTTACCAAAGCATCGAATTAAAATTTCATTGTAAACACGATTAAAGAGATAGAAAATCAATGTGATTCTGGCAGTATTTTTCCCAAAAATTTTGATTCCAACTTTCCATAGATACCAATCACTTATGATAACTAGTATGCAATGAGCAATATAAGGGCAGCATCTTACAGCAATACCATAATCAAGTCCAAGTGTTTTAAGAATCTGAAGAGGAATAATCAGATAGAAAGGATAGAGAGTATTTCTCATTCTATAAGTTGGTTACCATTCCCAAGATAGCTATACCCCTCCATAAACATAATTATAAGCGACCTCAATTGCTTACCAATACTCATCTGGATGAAGCAAATTATTTGTCATAAATAATGCTAGGAATAATCGATAGGCCATTACGATATATCTATTTCTGGCAATATCTAAATCAGTATATTTCCAAAATGGTACAAATTTTTGATAATTTTCTAGGTGACTATCATCTTAATCATCTAATTTATCATTTTATTTCATTATTGAATTATAGAATTACTCAAAGATATCATTCATAATCCATGCCGGGGTTTTGGGGTTTTGGGG